GCCCAAGCTCCGTCAGGAACCTCTCGGGGTCCATCAGTCGCCTGGGACGGAACCATCTGGGTGGTTCCGTCTCCCTGCGGCGAGGGGGGGCGGTCCGGAAGCCCAGCCTTAGGAGAGAATGATCTGACCATGACAAGGGCTCAACCACTATCTCCCCTACTGTCAGATCACTCTGCCACTGGCCAGAGACAAAAACTAGCCATCCATTTTTTAAGACTATGTACCAAAGCAGATAAAAATGTCAGAGGAAGAAGAAGAAAAATACATTAGCTGTTTTATTTTTGATCCTAAAATTCTGTATTCCTGTTTGAGGTTACCTTTTAGGGCAGTTACTGTAACCTTTAAGCACAGCAGTTAATCATCTAAGGTCTTCTACCTGCTACTCAAACATTGGTATGGTAATTTTTAACAAGATGCTTATTCTTGTGCTATTTTCCCAGATGGGCTGGCCCATTCAGAACCTCACCAACAGAAATCCAAAGATATTTCTACTTTGCATGGAGAATGTGAAGAGAAAGAAAAAAAATCTGCTTTTCAAAACTTTGAAACAAATTTTTCAAACATATATGGCTCAGGTAATACTAACATTTATTTGAAAATGCATGTTTCAATTTGTGTGTTTTGCGATTTTTCAGTTTGTGTGTTTGAAAGGAAACCTGTTGACATGTATAGGGAAATTTCGGTGGCTTTGCTCTTATCTAAAGAGAATAAAGTTTTGTTCCATTACTTTATTTATTTTCTTAATATCTGCATGCTATCACTTTCAGTAGAATTGTTTGTTCATCAGATCTGTTGGCCTACGACTCTCAGGAAATGGCTTAACACTTTAAATTTAACAGGTTTATTTAGGAAAGTTTGGAAAGATGGTTTAACTGTTTATAAAGCAAAGAAACAAGTGAAAGAACTAGGATAACTTGTTTGTTTTTTCTACCCAATTGGGGAAGTACAATTATGAAGGAATCCTCCAACTGTGTGGCAATTCTTTGTTTCACTTCCATCATTACTTTCCTCCTAAATTCTACTTTTCACAAAAATGTTATTTTATCCCGGGCTGTTTCCTTAGATTTGTTGCCAGCTTGGAACGGTGAGGAAAGCACCAAACATTTTCTTCATGAAGTGGTGGATATTATCTTCAGCTATATCAAAAAGGCCATTGACAGAAAGAGCAAAGTGCTTGATTTCCACCATCCACATCAGCTTCTGGAAGGGCTAGAAGGTTTCAATTTGGAACTCTCTGATCACCCTGAGCCTCTGGAGCAAATTCTTGTAGATTGCAGGGACACCTTGAAATATGGTGTTAAAACAGGTAACTTATTGTATAATGTGATTTTGCAGCACTGTTTTATGCAATCCACCAGATGTTCCAATATCTGTTCATCATCTAAATGAAACTTCCACTTTTAAAGGCAAAATGCTTCCAAACACAGGTAGTCTTCACTTATTGACCGATTGTTGGTTCTTTGTATACTACTATGTTTATTCATGTAATAAGCTACTGATTTTTTTTTTGAAACTCCACTTCAGGGTAGATACAAAACTAGTTTGTACACTTGTCTGTTTGCATGTTGGAGAAGAGAATGCATACATATCTTTCTGTCCTGCACATATGACAAAAACTTTGCATGTAAAGTTTTATTTAAAACTAGCTGTACCCGGCCATGCATTGCTGTGGCTCAGTCTGGTTAAATGGAAAAGAAAGAAAAGAGAAAGCGCACATTTGTAATATGTTTAATTTCACAATGCTTGTGGGTATACAATATTTTTTGCTAGCGTGTGTTGCTTTTACGTCCAACAGATGGCGCTGTTTTTCAAAAAAAGCATGTTTTTATCTGTCACAGGTGTGACATCTATATAATAGTAGGTATATAAAAACACGCGCGTATTCGAATGCAACGTTGTGTCAAAATTTCAAAGCAATCGGTGAAGAACTTTCGGAGATTTAAGATTTTGAACAAACGAACATTTACATTTTTATTTATATAGATTACAGTCCTTCACTCTTAAATTAAAAAGAGGGAAGAGCAGCACAAAAATCTCCTCCAGATGTGATTTTTTGTATGACCTGTTGCCTTTGGAGCCTGGTAGAAGGAAGCAAACATAGCTTATCTGATTGAGTGACTAATAGCCATAGGAAGCTGTTGTCTGCATGGAAAAGATATTTGGTATTTTAATGGATTTGAAATTTATATCTGTAACAAAGTCTCACTTATTTTCACAAAGCACGCACAAATTTTGAGAAAATGCAGGGAGAAGGGTGAAAGATGAGGAAAGATGAGGAAATGCAAACAAACAAACATATTAAGAGTTTCAAGTGCTGTAGGGGAAGAGAAACAAAGCGGAGAGTGAAGCCAAGACAGGAAGAATGGGATTTCTCAGAACTAAACACAAAGTCCCCTTGTTACCCCAGAAAACTGGTTCTGCCCGGGGTGTGATGCCCAATAAACCTCATACCGAAGTGGAGATTTACAAAAGGTTTATTTTGAGCAGAAGAAAGGACACAGGGGGATCATTCCCACCAGGCCTGTGTCAAGGCCACTCCTGCTATAGTACAGTTTTTATAGATGCTTCTCCATAAACCCATCTTAAGCCAATCCCTCATAGGTTATCCTATGACTTTATCAAGGTTTGTTAATATTGCTTAGCTTGCATTTGCAATGTCTAGCAGTCACCAGCACATTTGCCCCTATTTTCCAGTGACAAGTGATACATTGTGCTATAATTAGTACACTACACCACCCTCTCCCCAAGTTCCACTTTTCTAAAGCCGTTACCTTTGACATACCTGTAAAAGTTATATATATATATATATGCAATAGTGGAGAATATTTGTAGCTCAAGTGTAGAATGAGGGTGAAGGTTCGTTTCTGAGCTTTGGGGGTTGGTTTCCGAACGTTTCATCATCAAGCTAGGTAAGATGTTACAAAATGTTCAGAAACCAACCCACAAGCTCGGATAACAAACCTTTACAAACACACACACACACACACACACACACACACTAGCATAATCATATGTTTCCTATTCTTGTGACCCTCAGGTTTCTTGTGCATGCAATTGCATTGTTCCACCATGAGCAAGCATGTTCTGAGGATTTTATTAGCTAAGCTAATTTCATTACTTTTCATGCACCAGCCAATGTCTGCAAATACCAATTCTTTCTAGAGACTATAATTTTAGGGGAGGGGGGGTCTTTTGCCTTTTCTTCACCCTGATGCTAGATTTTATGATTTTAAGCTTTTCTGATGCAGACTTTTAAAATATAAATCTCCATAGCGCACACTTTCATGGACTATATCATTTTTTACACTATTCTTTCTCGGATGCATCTCTCAGAAGTGTCTTTTGTAATGCAAATTTTTGAGGAGACTTTTGCTCTTTGTTCACTGCTGTGCCATGAATGTTTTGATGGATATTATAGTCCCGTAAAAAATGTGAACTCTTTTTATATATAAAACATCTAGGCACATGGGCTAAATGCTTTTTTACACTATCTTCCAAGTACCTGAAACAGTTAGAGTGAATTAAAATGATGTATTTCTAACATTTGTGTTTTTAAGCACATCCCCGTTATTTCAACCAACTCTCCAGTGGCCTTGATATTATAGGACTTGTTGGAGAATGGCTCACAGCTACTGCAAATACAAACATGTATGTACTGTAATCTCAGTTTTATATATCATTAATCTGACAATAAATAATATTTCAGCAGAATAGTAAGTTGCTCTTTAAGAATGAAAAGATTGTTTGAGCTCCAACAGATGAAGGACTTTATTAATACTTTATTAATTCTTCTCCAAGAATCTCAGTGAAATCTTCTCTATATCTGTGCCTGTACATATACACACATGCGTGTACACACACACAAACATGAACACACACTTTTTAAAGTACTAAAACAAGATGTTCCAATGACCATTTAATATTTTAACATGTTACTTTTCTTTCTTTTATTCTAGCCTTTGACATTGTCACCTTCATTGTTTCCATTTTCATTTGATTCTCAATTTTTAAATGTTTATATAGAACAAAGTACATTTACAAGTACGTAAACCAAATAAATAAGCATTTGCATTATATTGGAAAAGTGTGTAGACTGTTCGATAAAAAGCCACATTTTTCTGCTGAAAAAAAATTCTTTTTAGGATTAAACTACACATGTTATTAACCATGCTCCCTTTCTTAATAAAAAGAACATGCATCTGGAGTTTGGACTATCATTTTGAAAGGTCTGCAAATTGCCATTCCCCAAAGACTATTTCCCTTTTTTAGGGGGGAGTAAGAAGCATGAACGGCATGGTCCACTAAGTTCTTGGGACTTGGGGAGTTTAGTAAATCCTAGTTTTACCCAAATGTATTAAGGAAAATCTGATTGACATTTTAAATGATAACTGCTTGATACTTTATGTCTAATAGACTGGCTGGATCATGTGCAATAAGTAATACATACCAATAAAAGCTACTTCTTAGAAGTAGTACATTGCTTAGTTCTTTAAAAAGTTCTTTTTTCTGTTGATCCAGAAGCAAAACCCCTATGTGTGTTGACAGTTTTGTAGTCTTATTAGTAAAACAGGTAGATCTCAACTTATGACCACAATTGAGCCCAAATTTTCTGCTGTTAAGGGAGACATTTGTTTAGTGAGCTTTGCCCCCATTTTACAATCTTTCTTCCTTTAGTTGTTAATCACTGCAGTTGATAAATAAGTAACACGGTTTCCTCATTGACTTTGCTTATCAGAACGTCGCAAAAGGAGATCACATGACTTTGAGACACAGCAATGGTCATAAATACGAACCAGTTGACAAGCACCTGAATTTTGATCCCATGATCATGGGGATGCTGCACAAGCTGTAACTGAAAAACGGCCACTTTTTTTTAGTGTCGTTGTAACTTTGAACGGTCATTAAATCAACTGTTGTAAATCGAGGACTACCTGCACTTTCTCAACCATTTTTTTTCTTTTATTCAAGAGAAACAAAAATAATTTGGCATTTGTTGTTGAAAATAAACTTCAGTATTCAAGTAATATTACCAATATTAACAGTTCTTGCAGGATATAGAAGAGGGGAGTGCTTCTGCTCAACACAAAAAGATTGAAATACTTTTGCTCATGCTTCAGTCACATGTGTAACATTATGAGCATCAGAATTCATCTCTAGGGTAAAATTTTAACAAGATGGCCATTGTGTAAGAAACGTGGAAAAAAAACTGTTGGAAAAAGTTCACGGGAGTCAATAGGAAGGTTGTTGAGAACTTCAGATACAAACAGAATTAATGGTCATGGTAAATTATACAAAATGTCAGCAAAGAACTTTGAAAAATGGTTATGGTGTATTCTTTTTCAAGTCACTCACTCCTTCACGTCAGATATTTGTCCTCACTCCTAACTGTTTCTGGATTTTATGGAGCACTACAATATTCCCAATCTTTACATCTTTCTGGCCTTGAGCTCTACATTCAGGACTTACATTTGATACAGTGGTATTTACTTTAAGGGATGAAAATGGGAAATGCTGCTATTTATGGAATCTGTTATTTATGGAATCTGTAACTCTATAAGAATTGTTCATTCAGTCCTTTTTATCGAAGACCTTCAAAAGTGGAGAGATATTGGTTTAAAATCATTAAAATGTGAAGTATAATAATTGTAAAAAGTTAATAACCAAAACTGTGACTAAAAACATTTAAAAGCTTGGAATCATAAACTATGAAAATACCAGAGCACAAGTCCGGCAAATAAAAGGTAGCATTTTGATCTAAAGAAAAAGGAATTGGATTTGGCCTTAAAACCTGTTTGGTCCTGCTGCTTTTCTGCCTCTATGTTTGGATTGTGGTTTATATCACCACACTTCCACCCCCTCATCGCCAGTGAGCTGAGACTAGGGAATGATGGGGTTGATAAAACCAGGTTAGGAACCAGGTTAGTTAAAGAATACTGACTTTATAGATGCTTTTCTATTTATTATTGGCCGTCTAAAGAACAGAACACCCAAACACAATTAAATACAAGCTAGTATAACTTACCTAACCATAACCAGTGTCTACGTATCACCAAAGGCTCACCCATACACATCATTGTCTTTAAAAATCTAATTTACAAGCATTAAACATTCACATTCAAGTGTAATATATACCAGAAAGGTTCATCAATTACTAGATTATAATACAATTTAAAATAACATGAGAAAAATAGTATATTATGATTAGTAATTCAAGAAGAGTTGGATATAATTTCCTTAACATTTCAGATAATGCTGGAGCGTGCTTAGCAATTAATTAGAAAATGGCAAATGGATAATAAGAAAAACACTTGAGAAAAGTAGGAGTGACTCTAGGAATTTTGAATGGTTATTCTAAATTTAGTTTCACATCAGTAGTCACAAGTACTTGCAAGTATTGTGGGCCCAATTAGCAAAAGAAAGCTTAGGACCATATAGGTTGGAAACATGAGGAAGAGGCCTTCATCCTGCAGTGGATATAGACAATAGCTAAAATGATGAAGTACTTGCCGAAAGTCATACCAGTGCTATATTCAGTTACTTCTTAGGTGAACCCTTGTGATAAAATGCACGCACACATCAGTCTAGATATGTTTCTATAGCTTCTTTTGCATGTATAGCTACTGGATTCTCTGAACAGATCTTTTCTGCATGAACCAGATGGAATTCTGCATCACTGTCTTGTTTTTATCTTTGTCAAGCAATTTGGATGTGCTTTTGCTTTTCTGGCTGTGTTATGTTGATTACATTAAAAATATGTTAATAGGTTTACATATGAAATAGCACCAGTATTCATCATAATGGAGGAGATCCTGCTGAAGAAAATGCAGGAAATTATTGGATGGGAAGAAAGCGAATCAGATGGCATATTTTCCCCAGGTAAGTAGATTAAAAATGTTAAGTGTTATTCAGATTATGTAACCAATGTAGTCTGCTGACATTTCAAATAGTGAGTTCTAGTCTCACCCTGGGCATATAAGACGGCTGAATGACTTTGGGCCAGCCACTCTCTCTTAGCCCAACTCACCTCACAGAGTTATGGTTGTGGGGAAAATAGAGGCAGGAGAGAGTATTAGGTATGTTCGCCATCTTGAGTTATTTATAAAAATAATAACAGTGGGAATAGATGTACATACTGTACATACATAAAGATAATATATTTTCCTCTTTCTCAATATTTTCTCCCTTCCTTAAAATGAATACATAAATGGCAAAACCATTGCGTTAGCTGGGTTTTAATAAGAACCTACAAAGAAAAATGTCATCCTTAGTCACTCTGTTCTACTTTCTGTCCTCAACTATTTTTGTGGCACCCAAAGCTTTATAACAATGCTGCAAATCACTAGTGGATGAGAGATGATAACGATTTTCACTGATCAACGAAGATGGACCATACCAGACTGAAACAAGGATATGCCTTTTGAGTATCATAGAAGGTTGTGGAATTCAGCACGTTGGGATCAACGCAACATCATTTTTAACACTGAAAAATTATGTTGTATCCTAGTGGATAAGAATGTAATTAGGTTAGTTGTACTTACATAGCAAGCTTTTCATGGCTTTTCTACACAGACCTTCCTTGGCATTGAAAAATATCCTGAATAGAAATAAACTGCCTCTAGAAAATTGGAATTGAGAACATTACCTGTGTGGATGATCCATATTCATTACATGGAATATCTTAAATTAATCTGCATTTGGTATCTGAAATTTGTCTGTTTGACTTGAAATGATGAGATGAAGCATTAATTCCCAATGACACTCAGCTATTCAAATGGTAATAAAATGTAATTTTTTTTTAACCAGGGGGAAGCATATCAAACCTCTACAGTGTTTTAGTTGCTCGCTATAAATACTACCCTGAGATTAAAACCAAAGGCATGGCAGCCCTTCCAGAGATCATATTGTTCATTTCTGAACATGTGAGTATTTACGTGTGCAATCACACCTGTATAAAATTATTTGACTATGGCAGACTGCAATTATCTTAATAATACATGTTTGTTGAATGAACTGTCAGTATGACGGAATGCCAGAAGAATGTAGAGCCATTACAGAAAAGCTATCTGAGACCTGGGAAAGTAGAAACCATGAGAAAGAAACTCAAAACAAGTCCACTTTCATTGTATTAACTATAAATTGGAATAGAGGAGGGCTTTAATAGGCTTTCAAAATTCTGTTGCAACGCCCAAACACATTAAAGTACATTTCAAGACTCTTAATGAATCCTTTTTTTCTGACTTTACCTACCTCAAGGACTCACATTCACCAACTCTCAATTCCATTCTCCCTAATTTTAGCAATTGATTACTTACCAGGAAGAAAGTTACCTTGTCAAAAGGGAGGAAAATGAATTTTTAATGTATAATTCATGGCTAGTTGTAGAGATGAGGAAGTATTGCTTTCTGATAGCAATAATGTAAGTTTGTGCATTGTGAATTATTCCTGTCATGACAGCCACAAGAGATGTTGTGCAAGACCCAGAGCAAAGTCAATGACTGGTAGCTACCAATAACACATTAATCTTTCAGCCTAGGAACAATTATTACTGTTGCAGTCATCCCTGCTCCATGTTGCTGGTGCAATGTGATTTTTGTGTCAATAATGTTGCTATATCCATATGTTGCTGTAGGTATGTTGTTATAGCAATAGCAAGAGCACTTAGACATATATACTGCTTTATAGTGCTTTATAACCCTCTCTAAGTGGTTTACAGTGTCAGCATATTGCCCCCAACAATCTGGGTCCTCATTTTATTGACTTTGGAAGGATGGAAGAATGAATCAACCTTGACCCAGTGAGAATCGAATTCCTGACAGTTATTCTAGAAGTATTATTACCGTATATACTCGAGTATAAGTCGACCCGACTATAAGCCGAGGGACCTATTTTGCCACAAAGAACTGGGAAAAAATGGTGACTCGCGTATAAGCCGAGGGGGCATTTTTCAGCACACACATTTTTCCGCCTGGGCTAATCGGCCTCTTTGCAACCCCACCCCTCTGGTAACCGCGCGATTGTAGCACTTTGCACAAAGGAGCAATAGTTGATAACACGCCCCACGTCAGCTGGAAGGGTATTCTTGGATAGTGAGAAGCTGGAACCGGGCGGGCGGGTGAGAGAGGCGGGCAGAAAAAAAGGGGGAGGGGAAATCCACACACGCTCGCGCAGGGAAAGGGGGAAACGGGTGGGCCGGCCGGCTCCCCTCTCCTCTTTGTGTGTGTGTGTGTGTTTGTCTCTCTCTCTCTCTCTCTCAATTCTCCCCCACCCCAAAAGTGGGGAGGGGGCGACCTTGCAAAAGGGAGGGGGCTTCTCCCGGTTGCGGGGAAGGCTGGAGGTGCGCCTTTCTCGGCCAGCCCGGGTAAATTCGGCCGTATTCTTCAATACGGGCCGGCCCCAGCAGTTCCGGCTGGTTGCCGGCAGTTGGATGTTCCTCCGTGGCCGCCTCGGCCCCCCCGGCCCTGTCGGTGAGCGCCCGGCAGAGCGCAGTGTCACCAGGCCTCCCCCCTTCGCGTGAGGTATCTGGCGTTCCCCCTCACGCTTGGCTGCGGCGGCCCAGGGTATTCCGTCCCGGCCTCGACACGCAGCGCCGCAGGGAACGGAAGGGGGGAGGGCCGTACCTGGAGCATCACATGAAGAATTGGGTGAAGAATATGGCCGAATTTACCCGGGCTGGCCGAGAAAGGCGCACCTCCAGCCTTCCCCGCAACCGGGAGAATCCCCCTCCCTTTTGCAAGGTCGCCCCCTCCCCGCTTTTGGGGTGGGGGAGAATTGAGAGAGAGAGAGAGAGACAGACAAACACACACACACACAAAGAGGAGAGGGGAGCCGGCCGGCCCACCTGTTTCCCCCTTTCCCTGCGCGAGCGTGTGTGGATGGAGCAGCGGCCAAGGGTTTATAAAGCAAGCGGCGGAGTCCTGCAGCTCAAAGGCGACACGGGGGGAGGGAATCGGAGCTAACCGAGGAAGGAGGCTGCTGTTTCTGCTGCCGCCGCCGCCAGCCAGGGCATAATATGGTAAATAAATACGAGCGTAGGGGATCCACGCGTGAACGAAGCCCCACTCCCCTGCCTCTTTTGCTTTCGCTCCCGAGCCGGCGCTTTTGAAAAGGGCTTGACTCCAGCCTGGGATTCGGAGCGGGAGACGCCGCCGCTGCTGCTGCCGCCCGCGCTGCTGTGGACTTACAATATCCGAGCAAAAGACTTTGCAAAAGACCACCCCACCAAGGGGGAAAGGCGCGCAGTTGGGCACCGTCTTCCTTCGGCGTCTCTTTAAACGGTGCTCNCTCCCGAGCCGGCGCTTTTGAAAAGGGCTTGACTCCAGCCTGGGATTCGGAGCGGGAGACGCCGCCGCTGCTGCTGCCGCCCGCGCTGCTGTGGACTTACAATATCCGAGCAAAAGACTTTGCAAAAGACCACCCCACCAAGGGGGAAAGGCGCGCAGTTGGGCACCGTCTTCCTTCGGCGTCTCTTTAAACGGTGCTCGGATATTGTAAGTCCACAAAGAACTGGGGAAAAATATTGACCTGAGTATAAGCCTAGGGGGGCATTTTTCAGCTCAAAAAATGGGCTGAAAAACTCGGCTTATACTCGAGTATATACGGTATGTATTAAAGATATAATTGGAAGAACTGGAAAATTTTCTGAGTAACAGAACCCCCATATATAGAGAACATCAGATGTGAAAGACTTGCCTAACATAAATTCCAATGTGCATAAAATGTGACTCACTTTAAGCAATGTCACTATCTTAGGAAGATGACTAGCCTAAGCAGTTATAAATTAATAAACCGTAAATCAAAGAATTATGAACTTCGATTATATTTTCCTCAATGATCACAACTGTACTGTATTATAGATTATATTATGGAGATATTTTGACTTTAGTTTAGACAAGGCACACTTAGTTGGTAATTTCACTTATGAGATAAGCTTTCATAGAAATAATTCAGCATATTTTCTTATCATTTCTTTCACCCTCCCTATGCTAACAAGGTAACTTTCTCAAAACAGATTATTTAGGTTATTTGCTTTTTTTATGCATACTGCCCCATAATTATATTAAATTTACACTATTGAGAAAGAGGGAGGAAGCACTTCCATCAGCAAAAACTCAGAAAAGAAGTAAATTGTACTATGGCTATTGTTAACTCTCTCAAAAAAATACTTTGAAATCTTTTCTGCTTAGAGATATTTAGTTCCCTGTTCACCCACAAACACTCTTTAGTATTGTGAAAGTCATCTGCTGCCTCCTCTAATATCATCACCATTAAGTCTTAATTTGTTTCTTAACTTATTTATATATACCTACTCACAGGTTCCTCTAATTTAATTAAATGGGGTTTACTCCCAGATACAAGGATTGTTAAAACTGAACTGTAGTCCCACTAATGTTAGCAGACCAGTCATGGTTTTAAACTTAGGGTTACCGCCCTTCATTTTTTCTTAAGACAAGAGCAATTATAAAATTGTTTATCTCTAATGCACTTTGTAAAATCTTCTTTTCTCTATTTGATGTTTTTCTCTACTAAATTATTTCAGAGTCACTATTCTATTAAAAAGGCAGCAGCAGTTGTTGGAATTGGCGTGGATAATGTTATTGCTATCAAATGTGATGAAAGGTAAGGTTCTCAAAAGTTTTCCTGCATAATATCAATATGTACAACTTACTTCCTCTGAGGTTCTTTGATAAAGATGTATTTTCATCTTTCAGTTTCATTATTTTCACAAAATGTGCCCCCCTCCCCCAGTAGGTTAAATCTCCCTGAGCAAATGACTTAGTTGTCAATTATTTGGTAAACCTTTCACAAACAATGAGAAACAGAGCAGGATAGATTATTTCAGTTATTGCCTCCAGACAATTTTTCCTCCAGCATTGTATCAATCTGCCATGAAGTCAAGGAATTCTTGTAAAATGTATCAATTAATTTCTCATAAATAATACATCAACTGAAACTAGGTCTATTGTCCCCATCGGTGCCATCAAGATGTAGCTGCTGAAATTAGTTCTGTTGTTATTGGGGGAAAAATGGCTGTATGTATAAGGATATCAAGAACATCAATACATTTAATGAAAGAGTCAATTAGAAAATGAATGATGTTTTAACAAAGAATGTTAGTATAATTAAAAACAATAAAGGACTTTTTTTCAAACTTCTACTGCAAATCCAAGTCTACTTTCTCACCAAGCAGTAAACAGATTTTATTCTATTAATTTATTTTGTTTGCTGAGAGGGGAAAAAAAAGGATAAGGACTTCATGGATATCCTTCATCATTTCTTGGAGACAGAAAAGGAGATTTCCCTGGTTTTATGACTTCTATTATGTCTTTATTTCCTATGCTCAAAGTTTTCTACATATTCAAAAGTCAAGGTCTACTATTGGTAGATGCCTCTGCGTCTAATTTTTAATGTAGTCTCCCCCTCCAAGTGGGTTTCAATGAGCGATAGAATATTATTCTACAGTACTGAGGAAGTTCACCACGTATCATAAAGAAAATGAACAATGGAGGAATTAGACCAGGAGTGTCAAACTGGCGGTCCATGGGCCGGGTGCATCATGCACAGGCCATGCCCACCCTGGTGCCACAAAGGCAAAAAATGTCATGATACATCGCGATACGTCACATGATGCAATAGAGGTTGACACCCAAGCTCTACCCTGTCCTCTTCACTTGATTATGTGTATATGTGTTTGTAGATGTGTCCATGTTGAAAATGATTGAATGGAACTTGAGTGTCATGGATATTTGTTTGGAAATACATATCTGTGAATGGTTTTGCTTGGAAAAGGAAGTTTTTTTACACTTTTGGAAAATTCGGGCATGCCATCTTTATTAACCACTAAATTTCTTTTTTTAAAAAAAAACAAAAAAAAAACACATCTTAACAGAGGAAAAATGATTCCATCTGAACTGGAGAAAAATATTACCAAAGTCAAGAAACAGGTTTGTTTGTTTGTTTTCTTATTGTGTTGGTTTTATGCTTGATGACATTTTCATTAATTTGAAAAAGTAAGCTACTTCCCTTCCAAGATTCATGTCCCAAGAAACTTGTAAACTCTTTCAGTCTCTACTCCCGTGACTATTCCTCTGGAACATAAATTGGTTGATAACTTTGAATTATCATGCTAATGGCAATTTGACTTCAGTGGGATATCTAGAAATATGTAGAATAGTTTTATTTTAGTTTATTTTTGGTTTTTTTCCAAAAGGGAAAAGACAGAAAAGTGAGCAGATAGAAACAATAACCATTGCTCATCCTTGCTTTTAGTGTAGTCATCCATCACCAAAAAGAACAGGTTAATGAGATGGTGGTTTAAAAAGGCTATAAGAATTTTCTACTTCCTCACATTTCAGTTACACCCCAGGGGAAGATATCATAAGGAAAATCGTCCTTTAGACTCTTCTTAGATTAGAATATGCTGGCATTGGGCAGGCTGCAAAGATTTGTAATAGCAAAGCAGTGGGTAGGGAGGCTGGTTTATAGAAATAGCATCCTTGGCCACTTTGTATAGTAAGCTCAACCATAACACTGTAGAGGTACAACTGTCTCCAATAATTTTAATATCAGTTTTCTTAAAAAAACAAAGCAAAACATTTTCGAACTTAGCTGTTTACTCTGTTTTACTGTATTTTTACTATCTTCAGAACACTTGTTCAAATTTTGTTGGACTGCATGCAGTTGTTATGTTGTTATGTGTTTATCTCAAGCTTACTGTGCATGATTCTGAAACTACCTGGGAAAAGGTGGTTTATAAATATATTAATAAAAAAAGAAAATGAATTCAAGAACAATTCAAGATTTTTCTCATAAAAATCTTTAGGATGCACCGATTCATCATTTTTAAAAAAAATTCTAAGACTGTCTAGAATACACAGTAGTATTTTAATAATTATATGGGGGCTTAGAACAGGGGTATCAAACTGCCGGCCCATGGGCTGGATACATCATGCCGAAACCGTACCCACCCCAGCTCCAGCAATGGGGAAAAAGTTGTGATACGTCGCGACACCTCACATGACGTGGTGAGTTTGACACCCCTGGCTTAGAAGGTAAACAGGACTTGGACAGAGTTGTACATGGAAAGGAAGTGTTAGACTGAGAATCATCCCAGAAAGCAAGAGTGAAAAGCCACTTCATTTTGTGGTCTATATTACCATGAAGTCCCCAGAAATCAGTCTTCACTTGAGGGTGTTACAAGATATGCTTTGTTTGGTTGAAAGAAGGCATTTTATTTTATTTTTTTATTGATGCAATATTACTATATGGTGTAGCTAATGAGGAAGGTGTTTAAAGTTGTTAGAGTTTAAGGCACACAAGTTGTTACATGCAATACATGAATTGATCTCTTCTGAGCTAAAACATCCTAGCTATACAGTACCACCACATCCAAAATGGAAATATGTTTTAATTATAAGAATGTTTACAACAGAGGACAGATTGTATGTGCTTTAATATAGGTTGTTGTATTCTTTTCAGGGGAAAATACCACTGTACGTTAGTGCCACAGCTGGGACAACAGTCTATGGAGCCTTTGATCCTCTCATCAACATTGCTGACATTTGTGAAAAATACAATCTTTGGATGCATGTGGATGTAAGATGCTTGTTTTCACACTCAATGCTGCAACAAACTAGTGGTGAGACAGAAGCTGAGCTGCTGTATAAGCTGCCCCCTCACAAGTATACATTCCCAACTTCTTCACTATGCAGGATAAATTTGAAGCAGCTTACAAACCAGTTTTATGAGCCTAGAAAAAAATATTTATTTATTAAATTTATATGCTGCCCATCTCACCATCCAAAACGACTCTGAATGGCTTTAATGGTTTGAAGAGAGATTGTTTCTTTCGGTGGATATTGCAAACTCTAGTTTCTTTTCAGATTGTATAAAACCTATTTGATAGATTTATACAGCCCTATTAAATATACACATGCAAGAGCGATGTGGATAAATAACAGCAATTTAGGCAATTTAAAATGCAGTGAATTGGTTGGAGTCTTATAAAATTGATTTATAATTGCATATGATGAGCAGAGATAACCATGAAAGATGTTACTTTTTTTCAAGGAGAGAAAGGTCATTGTCACCCTTAAGATTATTCTCTTAATATAAACATAGGTAAGAATAAAATCTTGGTTATATCAGAATAACACCCTGAGCCAGAATACAATTAATGGGATGTTGCAGTAGGTTGTTATTTGACTTCAGTAATTTCCTTCTATGACTAAATCATATTATTCAGTACATAATATGACATAGTTTACAGCAATACTTTGTGTTGACTCCTGGCAATTGCCTGGACTGCAGAAGTTAAAAGACTCAATTCCACAAAGATGATTTTGTGCCTAAAGATTTGAACTCATAGACTCCTGATAAAATGGTGATTAGTAAATACTGGAAGTGACAAAAAAGAAAAAAAGAAAAAGTATCTACATAATAACTACAGTAACAATATAAAATTAATTCAATCCTTAAGCTTATCATCGGATAACAAACTCCTTAAAATCTGTCCTTAAAATCAGACAGTAAGTTTCTTTCCAGTTGCCTCAACAGAACCAAAGCTCCTCATGAGACGACAAACTTCATATTTTAGAAATATAATTAAACATTGCATGGTTCCTTAATTATAATATTTCTTCCCATGTGTTTTGACACATGTAGTGATTTAAAACCAAAACAAGGCTATAATTGGAAAGACCAGGTCATATGAATTAAGGAACCTTCAAATCGTTTACAATGCCCACTTTAAAAAAAAAAAAATCTAATGATCCTTCTTTGAGTGTCCAATAAACATGAAATAATATTTTCTGATTAGTCAATTTCAAGTTTAAATGGTAAGATGTATATTCAAATCACTTCACACTTGGTCTCATTGATTCCCCAAAATTGGATATTCTAGTTTTTCCTTCCACTATTGAAGTATATAAGTATTACTAATACAATAACTTTTATGTTAAATTCCTTATAAAACAGAATTCTTGTTTTTCATTCAAGTGCCGCCTCTCTCCCAGAAGAGAACAGAAAGGAGTACTCTGTGTTCTATTAAGCAAAAAGCAAAAAAAATATAAAATCAGACCATCAGGCTTTTCTCTTTTCTCTGTTTTCTCATTTTGGGATTTAGCTTCTCTTTTCCCTTATATTTTAGACAGGCCAGTGTAGTAAGTATGGCTGGCAAAATGTGATAAAAGGTGGAATCTTTTCATTTAGATAACTGTGTGTTTAATTTCAATAGGCATCGTGGGGAGGTGGTTTACTATTGTCAAGAAAGCATTCCCATAAGTTGAACGGCATTGAAAGGTGAGCATCTTGTGATGTAATTTATTTGTACAACAGAAGAAAGTGAGATTGATATCTTGCTGAAGAATAAATAAAGACTATCATTCTTTATAAATAAAGAATATAATTACAATGATAATGACTCATGAACAATCAAAGTGAACTGTGTTATGAGAAGCAGGAGGGGAAAAAAATCTATTCCTACAACCTGCTCATCAGTTGAAAGAGGAAGAGATATAGGTTGTGAAAATGGAAAAGCATTAATAGACCCAGTTCAGTTAATCCCCAGAGGGTACAATTTCCCCTTACACAAACCAATTCACACTTAGAGTTAAACTGATTTTACTTAATTAACCCTGTTGTGGGAATATTTCCCCATTTTACCTACCAAATAAAAGAACTGGTAATAATCAGGAACTGAAAATGCAAGCTTATCTACAACTATATTTTATTTGTTTGTTGGTTTTTATGAGATTTATTTGCCACCTATGTCACCTCGAGATGACTCTGGATGGCTTACAAACTTTAAAAGCCAATAAAACCATGAATGATCAATATTCTAATAACAGTAGTAAATTACAGTTACAATTAAAAAAGATGGGGAGGAAGGGAGTGGGATGCACATGGTGAGGGGAGGTGGGGTCTTCCCTTAATCCATCAACCACTTTCAGTGTGATACTTATATACAGTAATCAGTGGTTTTTCACTGACTTAGTGCAATTATATGATGACACTAGTACATGCACACATTTATATAGGATCATAGAGTGACAATAATCTGTCCATAATTTTAGAAGTTTATTTTTTCCAGCTTTAAAAAATGCTTTACTTATATTTTCTTTTTTAAGTGTTCTACATTTAATATTCCCTTTGTTTCTGTTTTTTTGTTGTTGAGTTCCTATAATCTGCAGTCTCCAATGTTTCTGACTTTGCAGACAGGCAGGGGGAGTGGCGGGGGGAGGATAGGGGATGGGTCCACGCAAGCAGCGGACAAGTCACTTGTGTGACCCAGTTCTGAACAGTCCCTGTGTATAATCATATAGTTGCAGATATTGAAACAGATATTACTACAGCTGCAGATATTAAAGTTCACTTCTTTAATTAGAGCCAACTCTGTCACCTGGAATCCTCACAAATTGATGGGTGTTCCACTACAGTGCTCAGCTTTTTTAGTCCATGAAAAGGTAATTTGCTTTTATTATTTTTGGTCCAGGTAAGCCTACCTGTTTGTTATAAAAATAAGACTTCTATCTAATTAATGTTTAAATAATATTTCCTAAGGAAAGATTAGTAGAGTAAGGCTCCTATTGTGTCATATACTTCCTTGGAAACAACTTTTACTGAAATTAATTGGCTTACTTTTGAGCAAGGGTCTTCAAACTTGGCAACTTTAAGACTTGTGGACTTCAAATCCCAGAATTCCTCAGCCAGCCCTAGCTGGCTGGCTGAGGAATTCTGGGAATTGAAGTCCACAAGTCTTAAAGTTGCCAAGTTTGAAGATCCCTGCTTTTGAGCAATCATACGGGCAATAAAGATGTTTAGTGGAGCTGGGGAGGGTTTGCTCCAGCACGAGTTCACTATGGAATATGAGTGGGGCTCCCCAGTGATGGAACTGACTTGCAGTCTTCCTTGCTGGCTTCCCCATTGACTTTGCTTGGGGGAAACTGGCAAGGAAGATTACAAATGGTAGCCACGTGACCGTGAGATGCTGCAACAGTCGCCAAGGATTTAAATCATGAACAGGTCTGCTGTGACAGCCAGAATTTTGAGGATTGGCTGTAATTACCACTTGCTTAATACCAACTTTAGTCACTGAACAAATGGTAATTAACTGAGGAGCACCTGTAATACATGGATGGTATACATTTGGCTTGGTGGGAATCGCAGCCCTGTCCCAATTCATTTCTAGAAGGGTATCAGATCATAATGATACGTAAAATAAAATTGTTGGTAGATGCTTTTCTCATTCTCGATTTTCCTCTAGGGTCTTCTCCAAGCCTGCAACCAGCTCCGTGCTGACTATCTCTTCCAACCGGACAAGGCTTATGATACACTTTATGACACCGGAGACAAGACAATCCAGTGTGGCCGACATGTTGATGTCTTCAAACTATGGCTAATGTGGAGAGCTAAAGTAGGAGCACATTCATTACTGGATGAAGTGCCTGACTAAAGATGAACAAGTCGGTTGCTTTCAGTTTCTTAGTTTTTAATATGAGATTTAGTTCATTCTGTGACAAACTGTATCACTTGAGGATATTTTTTCAATCAAAATTAATACTATTAATAAATGTGCACACACACACACACACACACACATACCCATTTGCAAGTGTTTTCCTCTTGATGTGCACGTGTGTGTGTATATACATTTGCACACTATTTTCTAATATGCACATTTTTGTGCATGCCTCAATAGGAATAGTGCACAGTTTTTGAAACACAACGTTTAGAGAAGGCACCTTCTGGAGGTGCAAAATTACAAATTTTGCACTAAAATGTGAATCAGTTATCTCCACTGAGCTGAGATATAATGCAATAATAATACACACGATGCTGCAAACAGAATCTCAGAAATCAAAGGAAAACATTGAAGTCTCCAATGCTGTTATGGAAAGGAGGCAGAGAAACTGAGACAGTAAGTGGGAAAGTTATAGATGACAAATAATGTCAAATATAGTCACAAGGCAATTTTTTGTGAACGCCTCCTTATCTATGAGGAAAGTGTATACTTCTGCTACACAACCAAACAATACCTGAAAGAATTCCAAAAGTCAAAATTACAGAGTTACCCTGTGGTAAGATGAGCAGCAAATACATTTGAATGAATGAATGAGTGAATGAATGAATGAATGAATGAATGAATGAATGAATGAATGAATAAATAAATAAATAAATAGAATCTGATCAGTATTGCTGGGCCTCAGCAATAAAAGTATTTATCTATCATTGCTGGATTTCTTTGTAATGAAGCTCTAATAAAAATCTGCAGAGAAATCTTTCTATTCTTCAAAAGGCAGTTTCTGAAATTTCAATATAGCCATTATGTTACTTTACAGTAGCAGGACCTCATTTTAATTCTTTGCTGGCCCCAGATAAATCATTGTCATTTTACCTTGCAAACTTGCAGTGTATAATGGAATGAACCATGTTTGTTCTGCCTTTTCTATCTTACAGGGCACAGGAGGATTTGAAATTCTTATCAATAAATTTTTGGAACTTGCAGAATATCTTTATAAGGAACTCAAAAGAAGAAACAATTATGAGCTGGTTTTTGATGCTGAGGTTAGGAGTTAACAGTGGCAAGAAGTCTCTGCATTACTTCTTTATTTTGTTAATCTACAGTTTTCAGTTCCCACAAAAGTCTTCTTCACAAAGGATGAAAATAGCCAGTTTGGTCTAGTGGTTAAGACACCAGCTAGAAAGCAGGCGACTGTGAGTTCAAATCCCACTTTCGCGATGAAAGCCAGCTGGGTGACTTTGGGCCAGTTGCTCTCATCCCAATCCATGTCACAGGGTTGTTATTGTGGGAAAATAGGAGGAAGAAGGAATATTGCATATATTTGCCATCTTGATTTATTTGTAAAAACAATAATGGCAGGATATAAATAAAATAAATAAATGGGCACACTAAGTTAATTATCACGACATTACAAAGATCTTCCAATCTTTCTTGGCTGAATTATAAGGAATAAATGTGTTTTTTCCTCTTCCATCCCCACCTCCTTCAATCCTTTTTTTTTCAGTCATTTTTTTTTCTTAGTCGAAGCTTTGCGTACGAACCTCCGTGCAAGTGAATTCTTTGTATTACATATTCTGGGTGTGAATCAGGATTTCCAGTGACTAGGAAGAATGAAACATCTTTTCCCCTAGGTTCAGTAGGTGCCAAATAAATTAATCAGATTAAATGAAAATATGTTCAAAAAATGGATTTGAACCTCACATTTCTGCTTTAGCTCAGTAGTATTCTGATGCTAGAATTCTACATTTTCCAGAACTTCTTTACAAATTCATGTGGGTGCATATTTATTTGATGTTAAGCCCCAGAGATTTCCTGGAGCTATTAATGTGTAAAATGTAAAATGTTTCATAAATATGTGAACATCAGAAAAGGCAACCCTTAAATTTTCATAATGCCCCAGGAGAGAAAAATAGAGTAGCAATGTGCAGAATGAATCAAAGGACACAAAAATGCTTCACAAATAGATAGCAGTTGTAAAATTATCACTAAACTAAAAAAAGGACTATGAAAAGTTAAACTAAATATAAGTTAGATCTGGAAAGATTCTACAGCCTAAATTTTTGATATTTGTGGAATGTTCTTCACACACATCAATTTTTTTTCTGAGCTAATGGGAAACAGTCAATTTTAAAATATGCCATAATTCATTGAGATGCCTCAGAGACTTCTATATAATTAATGAAACTTAAATAGACTGTGTTTTCACACATTTTATCTCAGTAGATATTAATAAACATCTCATGGAAATATCCTACACCTGAACTAATGATAACTGTCAATAAAATAAGTTAAAATTTATGTACGTGCAGAAACAAATTCAGCCAATATTTAAGATTGCAGTGAACTTAATAAAAATAAGTTTTAGCTTAATTCATTATGAATTTTGACTCTGAAGTGGAGAAACAACCCCTGAGCTATTTTGTGATGTTTATTGGGTTGGCAGTAGAAAATATTTTCCCCTATGTTAAACAGGCATGAATAGTTGTGTTTAATGAGAGGCAATTCTGAAGGATGGAAACAGAACGGCTGAAGTTTCCAATGAGCTTTTTCATGCTGGGCATTATATGGAAAATATAATATCTTGCAACATCATCAGCCAACTGAGCAATTCATGGGCTTACCATGAATTTATATTTATAGTAAGGATTTTGCATAAATCGTGGATTTATTTTAATTTTGTTTCCAAGACTTCAGATTCCAATTTCCCCTGCCTATTTGATAAAGTACAGCATTTGTTGCAGAAATAAAAATGTTTGATTTTACCTCTTCTTTTTTTCTTTTTTTAAAAAAAATAATCTTCAAGCCTGAATTCAGCAATGTATGTTTCTGGTATATCCCACCAAGTCTTTATCAAATCCCAAAGGGGCCAGAAAGAGACAAAAGACTTCATCAGGTAAAAACTCATATGTACATTTTATTTTAGTTTTTTAGCGCAACTTTAATATGTGTGGACTTCAATTCCCAGAACTTCCCAGCCAACCAGTCTGGGTATGGAATTCTAGAAGTTGAAGCCCACATATATTAAAGTTGCCAAGTTTCAAAACACTGTGTTAGAGCAAGTCTTCTATCTATCCCTCCATATTTCACATAAGTTAAATACAGTGGTGGGATTCAGCCAGTTCGCACCACTTCAGCAGAACCGGTAGCTAATTTTTTTGTTGCCCAGGCCCAGAATGGACTTCCGGAAGTGGCATCCACACAGAGAACTGGTTGTTCACATATTTGAATTCCACCACTGATTAAATACATTAGATGACAACTCCTACTATCCTTACCAATGATCCATTGAGTGTGACAGCTAGAGATGAAGGATCATGCAATCCAGCATTTGGGGAAGGGTAGTCTATTTTATGCATAATAGATAGAATCTGCAATTGCAGAATATCTGGTTTTGCTTTCAGCTTCTGATAGACATATTTGACTGTTCCTGTTCTGCATGGTTTTACCCAACATTTCATTCCAGTTTATTTCTATTTTTTTTCTAATCAAAGACAGACCACTGAATCCTTTTTTTATTCTTTAATTTGTTTTATTGAATTATGATAAGACATAAGTAATACATTATATTATTTGAATACAGTGCTATTTATAACATATTGATTAGAGAATATTAAGACGCTAATGTTTAAATATTTAAAGATAAAGAAAAAAAGTAATAATATTAAGACATTCCTAAAATGTCAGTATTGATAAGCATAAAGCTCACCATATTTTAATCAGATATAAATATATACTTTAATCATATTTCTGCCAGCAATCCAAAATAATGGCTGCTACTACTTATTCTTTAGTATCTTCGATGCTTTATCCCAGAAATTAAGTCCTGTTTTCTGCCCTATCTATCCAGGTTGCTCCAAAAATAAAAGCAAAGATGATTGAAGAAGGCACTACTATGGTTAGCTACCAACCTTTGGGGGACAATGTGAACTTTTTCCGAATGGTCTTCTCTAATCCAGCAACCAAAAAATCAGATGTTGATTTCCTCTTGGAAGAGATTGAAAGGCTCGGGAAGGATTTGTGATAATCTGAAAAAAAATGTATTATTAATATTGTGGAGATTCTCTACAGCAGTGTTTCTCAGCCTTGACAACTTTAACATGTGTGTACTTCAACTCCCAAAATTCCCTAGTCAGTCCTCTGACTAGGGAATTCTGGAAGCTGAAGTCCACGTCTTAGTGTTGTCAAAGCTGAGGAACACGGATTGTTGTTGTTGATGTTGTTATTTTTTCCCATAAAAGTGCTGCGCTGTACTTTCCTTTCTTTCTTGGGGTGAAATTAAAAGGTTTGAAACATATTGGGAAGGGAGTTAGATCTGATGACTTGTACCATTTTCCAAGAAGCTTATATTTGCACAAAGTGGGATAAAGAATCTTACATGTCTTTTTACTCAAAGCAGTGAGCGTTGTTTTCGCATAGGCTGCAGCCTAACAAAATCTCTTAGTTAGAAAGTTCATGTGATCATACTGTGTTGTATGATCACTTATGTAATCTCCAAAGGAAATCATGTGTGAGAATCACTGTGCACAATATAAGTATTGGGTGTTTTAAAACCCCCCAAAACAGAGACATATCTCATGGCATCATTCTCAGGGTTGAGATAGATCCAAGATGGCAGTCCTTCTCACTGCACTCCACTAATTAATAACCAATGATTTTCAGAAATAACAGGTAGTCCCCAACTTACAACGATTCATTTAGTGACTGTTCAAAGTTACAACAACACCGAAAAAAGTGACTTATGACAATTTTTCATGCTTATGACCGTTGCAGCAGCCCCATGCAGTAGTTGCAGCAGTGATCAAAATTTGGATGTAAAGACAAAGTGGAACCCAAAAAAGTTGGCTGGACTACAATTAGAAGTAACCCTGCATAATAAAGATTATTTGGATCCCCTTCAGTCAGGGACCAAGCCTAGATATGGGGCAAAACCACATTGGTCATTCTTGTGATGATCTATAGCAGGATGTGGATGAGGATGGCATTCTTAGTCCAATACTTTTAGAAATGCATGCACTAGGTAGACATAGCCTAGTCAGAAAGTGTACCCACTTCCTGTACGACCAAGCAGGCAAGCAGGCAAAAGACCTGAAGATGGCTTTCTTGATACAGCTCCATCACTTTAGAAAGCTTATTCTAGAAAGTCAAGATCCTGTTCCCATTCAGTAATTAGAAAGATGGTGATAAGAGTCTTCTTTCATGGGGCATTTGAAATGGAAGTTCAAGTTCAAGTTCAAGTTTATTGCATTTATATCCCGCCCTTCTCCTAGTGGACTCAGGGCAGCTTACAGCCAATTAAAAAACAAAACAATCAATACAAATCTAAGAAATTTAAATTTAAAGAGCAGTGACAGCATAGGTAATGATTGCATGGATATTAATGGATTGGTTTTACACTGAATTTTGGTTTTAGTGTTTTTTAAAAGTGTAAGCCATCAGAGTCTAGTCAGTAGGCAGCACTAAATTATTGTAAATAAATAAATAAAATCAATAAATAGAGATTGTTTAATTCTTTGAAAACACCCCTGACCATTATCTATTGTTTTATACCGGTTTTAGATTAAAAAAAAACATTTTAAAATTTATTTTAAAAATGGTATGCCATTCTTCAAAGTGTTCAGATTTTCTTGGGACATATTTCAGTATTTTCACTAGTCAATGCCTTATAGATGTATAAGAACTGTCATTTCTGGAACTTGTGCTTTAGATTTTTCACCATCAATTTGAGAAAGATGGAAGTAAATGAGGCAGAAGCTGATGCATGTGTCCCAATGTATCCTGTATGGTGTGGACATCTGAATGCCTGAATAGGGATTATGTTTCAAACAGGTGATTTGCCAAACACGGAAGCAGAATTTTATAAAATTTAAGAGCAACACGCCTATTTCTCCTCACTGAAGCACTTCAGATAGAACTACCAGATTTTTCTTCTGAAAATTAAGATACCTCTGAGTCTGGGAATATTGCCAATGCAGAATTTTACAGTTTAATATGGAACCTGGGAAATTTAGCAATTCAAGATGAGAATTTGCTCTATGTTCCTATTCACAGTTCTACCATAATACCTCTATTATGGCACTATCAATGCAATAACCAAGGTGTGGTCTCAATTACAGCTCTCATTTCCATTTGCTGTAAATGTAACCATGTAAATTGACACTGTTGGAAATTGTAGCCCAAAATATTTGAAGGACAAAAGTTCCTCATTCCTAGAGTAGGCAGTGTACCCTGGTAAGAGTCTGATTTCATTGATTTTTCACTCCACTCTGGTGAATTCAGCTACAACAAGGCTCTGCTTCCACAAAAGACTTAGCAGAACCAAAAGGGCTAACAGAATTAATTAATTTCAAGGGATTGGATTGGATTTTGAAGGTTAAACTAATTCCACCCAGTCAACCGGTTTGTGTAAAAACATCAACAACCCAATCAATTCATTTTATTTACTTAGTTTTGAAGGAAAATAAGTTGGGGAAGAAGAGTAGCTGAAAAAGCAAGTTTTTCTATTACACTGTTCACTGCCAGAGCCATGCAGTATAGGATATATCTTCTTCGAAGTCCTTGTTGTGGCCAAGTGATGCCTCCAATTTCCTGTCTAGTCGAAAGGAAAGAGGATAGAGACAGTATTAAGCAAGAGCTCTTGGGTTATCAGGTACTTCCTGGAATAATCAGCAGGAATTCTATATTCCTAAAATGGCAACTTTTGACACAATTATGACATAATTATATCCTGCCTGAAGCTCTGGTAAGGAAATCCAGTTGGGATAGTTTTAAAAGTATCGAAGGGGTTCTAAATTCCCTTCTGTTGAAATGGACTGATGATCGTTTTTAATGATTTTTTTTTGAAGTTTTTATTTTTCTTTTCATAAGATCATGTCTATTCATTTTAGGTAGTGATAAATAGTGGTGAGTGGTATCTAAACTGTAAATTTTACGGATCAGAGCACGGATGTCAAACTTGCTGCATCACATGACGTGTTGTGACGTATTGCAACTTTTTTTGCATTGCCGGACCTGGGGTGGGCGCGGCCTCCGCATGATGCAACCAGCCTGTGGGCCGGCAGTTTGACACCCTTAGTTTAGAGTTTTGTAGTGATTTATAACCATTTCTCAAGATGATACAAAGATTTTAGTTTTATATATTAATTTAATCAATGCTGGTCATTATCTATAAAGCCCTACATAACCTAGGGCTAGGTTATCTGAAGGACTGCCTATCTCCCATGGTTTCTGATGGCCATTACATGCCAGCAGGCTTGGTATACTCCAGGTCCTTATAATTAAACAGTGCCATCTATGGGGACCCAAGAATGTGCCTTCTTTACCATGGGGTCTTACCTCTGAAATGAGATTCCCCCTTCAGGTCCATGTGGCTCCCATCCTGACTGAATTCTGCAAAGTTCTGAAGACCTGGTTGTTCTTTCAGGACGGGGATGAGATGGAATGGAATCCTTTATGTTTGTTATGGGGAGATTGGATTTCATCTGTTTTGTTACATACTGTGTTTTTATTTTTATTGTGAACTGCCCATGGATGATTTGGAATTGGGCAGTGCCTAAACCAAATTAAATAAATAAATAGTGGCCAACAGCAACATGGATTGAGAACATATAATGAGTATAAATAAAAAAAGATTCTAATTGGATTTTAGCTTTGTTGAGACTTTCGGCAGCAAGAGTTGCATTATGTTTGACTGGATGGCAATTTAAAGGCTCTATATTAAACTAAGATGGAAATGCCATTGCTAAACTAGAATAACTAATATGCATATAAATTCAACATTGGCTTGAGTATGTTTAATGTAAGAATTACATTCAACCAACATCATTATCTAACATAATAACTAATAATAATAACATTAACTTTTCAAACACTCACATTTGGTTCAAATTGGTCTAATTTCATTGAATTAATCAGAAAGAAATTTTATCATCTTCCAAAATCATTTTAAGTCTAGTCTTTCTACTGAAATAGATTGCTAATGGGCATCTCCAATTACTGAGCATAAAAGTTATACTAAGAAATCAAAAGCCACTAAAATAAAGAAGAACAATCACATAAAAATCGGTCTGTGAGTGAAAGAAAGAGTAATAATATCATTGAAACTCACCCATTTTGAATAATACACAATTATAGCTTTAACGAATTAGCATTCACTGATCTTGCCGGCCTTAACCGAATGTAAATCATTCAGAGAGAGCTCTTTCTTCAATAAGGTTATAGAGATTATTGCATATCCCTTTCAAGATAACAGCTGACTGACAGCTGAAATAATAGGATGATGATAGTAGAAATAGTGTAAAATAAAATCACAATAACCCTACAGTAGAAGTAGCCAAGATTTCTGGGAAATGGGCCATAACACATTATTTCAAATCAACCTGGCTAAGTTTTAAAATCCCTGGGAGAAGCCATTTTCATTCCCAACACAGTCAGAAACATATTTGACAGGTAAGGCAGAAGGTATCTTCACAATGACTACTTCCAGGGTTCTGCAGCTTCCTTATCAAGGGACAAGGCAAATTTTATCTTTAAGGTCCTCTAGATTAGGCCATTTGTTTCAGCCTATTCACTGTCAGAAGTAAGGATTCCAGATAGAAGTGTGAAAGACTGCTATTTAATTTCTTTTAAATGATTGCTAATTTGTTGTTGTTCAGTTGCTAAGTCATGTCTGACTCTTTGTGACCCCATGGACCATAGCATGCCAGGCCCTGGCCTCCACCATCTCCCAGAGTTTGCCCAAATTCATGTTCATTGCATCAATGACCCTATCTAACCATCTCATTCGCTGCCATCCCCTTCTCTTTTTGGCTTCAATTGGTTACTAATAGATTTGTTTTAAAAAAATTGATTTGAATTAATATCTTTGGTGTTTTATCTGTGATTTCTTATTTTTCTCTATTGAAAGCAGCTATTGACCTATAGCAGCTTATAAACAAACATAAATAAACAGACAATAAATAGGATGTAGGGAAAATATGTAACTAGAATTGCTCCACGAGGAGGATGGTGGGGATAATGTTGTGA